GAGGCAGAGTTGCTCTGCCCCCGGCTTCCTGGAATCAGCCGCTGATCAGTTTCAGCAGCAGCTGACTTAGGGACGCCTGGGGTTCTTAAGTTGAATCTGTATGCAAGTCAGAACTGGCATCCAGATTCAGCCGCTGTTGAAACTGATCAGTTTCAGCAGCGGCTGTATCTGGACGCCAGTTCCGACTTACATACAGATTCAACTTAAGAACAAACCTACAGTCCCTATCTTGTACGTAACCCAGGGACTGCCTGTATATTTCAACTCACTAAACTGGGAATTTAAACTGGAATTTGCCATTTACCCAGGTGACAAGAAGAGTGGTGAATATTTATTTCACATTAGCTTGAGGGATCTTTGGCCTTCCATTTTAAATGATTTTGCCTGTCAAAATGATGATTTTCTACAAAAATATTGGAAGCTAGTTTTTTTCTGTATTAGAGTATGAGAAAATGCAAAAAGCTGATTTTGTTTCAAATTTCAAGGGTAAGTGAAAGTAATTTATTTTTCTCTAAAATGTAATCTTATGATCTGATAAAGCAGATTACAAATCATTACCCATAAAGTCTTGCAGTTTTGCTTTTATCCAGATTGTAATATCCTTACTCATATTAAGTACCTCCTTCCTCTTTTGGGAGCTGCAGCTTCTTTCTTACTCCTTTTGGATCCAAAATACCTTATTTTGTACCCCAAATTCCAAAAAGCTATATGACTGACATTATCTTTCAGCAAGAGCTACTTTATTGCTTTCTTATTCATGTAGATAGTGTCATTGAATAAGTGCTTAAATTTACAGATTTATTAGGCCAGAAGATCAGACATGGTCTAATCTTCCATCTAACACAAGTTAAAGAACTTCACCCAATAATTTCTGTAGTAAGCTCATATCTGCTAATTATATCTTTTAAAAAGATATCCAGTCTTGATTTAAAGACTTCAGGTGAATTCCCATAAGCCCCAGATAAACCATTTCTATGTGTTATTCTGAATTTGCCTAATTTCAGCTTCCAAACATTGGATCTTTTTCTACCTTTATCTGCTAGATTGTAGATCCATCAACTATTAGAAATCTCTTCCCCATTTGTGTACTTATACACAAAAACAAGTTACTTCTTAAACATCTCTTGGCTGAAATCAAGCATCTTTATTCCCTTACTTGAAGGTATGTTTTGCCAACTTCAAATCATTCTTGTAGCTCATTTCTGAACTCTATTCATTTTGTCAGCACCCTTTTTGAAATGTGGACACCAGTATTGTACTCCAGTAATGGTCTAATGCCATATACAGAGGTAATATCCCTTCTCCTACTCAGTATTCCCTTGGAACCAGGGAACACATTCATCCTCTTAGCTATAATTTTGTACTGGAAGGTCATGTTGAATTAGTTACCTACCATGATTCATAAAACCTTTTTAGAGTCACCACATGAGGGTACAGTCCTCCAATATAGAAGTGTAACTGACATTCCTTATTTCTAGATGTATGACTTTGTGTTTCCCTATGTTAAAATATATGTTCAAATGAGACCATGTTACCAAGAGACCCAAGTCAGACTATACAATTGACATGTCTACAACATAACTTACCATTCCTCCATTTTTCTGTGATCTACACATTTTACAAGTAGAGCTTTTGTGTTTTCTTCCAGACCATTGAGGAAGATATTCAGTAACTTTAGGCCAACAACAGATCCCTCTGGGGACCATACTAAAAATTCCATGTCAACAAAAGTAAGATTGCAGAGACAGACTTTAATAAAGAAGTGAAATGGTTATTTTCTAAGACATAAATGAGCTTACCATTTTCCCCAATGGTAGTTTCACAAGTGCTTCAGTTTCTCTGTAAGCATTACAGTATCCAGATTTAATAAAGCCTACAAATGTACAGATTTCTCCTCCTTTTACAAGCACTGAAACAAGAAAAGCAACAACCAAAAATATCACAAAAGAAAATTCTCTCAACAATTATTGTTAAAAGAACATGTACAATATTGAAAAAGATCAGAATATTGCAAGAATTAATTTTAATTTGGTCTTATAGTTTACAGAAGTTAAATGATTCATTACTACAAAATCAGGCCACGGTCCTGATATGTAAATATTCAGGCAGGATGCTGTGTACATGGACATCCCTATGGAAGTTTGTGGGGCTTTACCTGGGCACAGCAGTCCATCCACACATTACAGCACTGGGGCCTTAAGATGCAGCAATTATGTATAGAATTAATACAGCAATAGACTGTAGCATTGTTATATTCCCACCCCCCTCCAAAAATATGGAAGTAGGATTCTGAGGTTGAGTCAAGGCTTTTATTTAAAAACAGGAGGGGACCACATGTTCCCACAAATTTGGTCATGTTTTTCAACAAAACAAATACATCACCACATTTAGTAGTGTTTTGTTCTTGGAATCATACCATTTAAACTAGCATGTGAAAATCTTGAATTCTAACATGTTTGACTTTCCTATATTTTACACCACATTATGCATGATGCACAATGATATGGGCAAAACACAATATTTGCCAGTGCAATACCACAATCAATCTAAGAGCAGCTTATCTAAGAGGAACGAGCCAGATCATTGGCTGGCTTAAACTGGAATAGTACCACTGAAGTCAGTGGAGCCAGTATATTTCACCAGCTGAGGACATGGCCTAGTGAGCTATAAAACCTTCCTAAACTCTCTTTTTATTGGTGCTTTCTCTTACCACCCCCTTAACTCTTGAAGACTTTCTATGATTCTGTAGGAAGGTTAGATCCATCGTTTTGCTTTTGGGAGAAGAATAAGTTAAATACATTCGCTGTTCTGCAGGAATTCTTTCTTGACATTTTATACTAATGAAAACAATGACACCAGCATGACAGTGTTTATTACTGAACACTAATGAAACTGTGGTGGAGGCGGCCCATGATGCAGACAGATTGAACAGCTGTTGAAAGGAGAGCCTCCCTGGGATTACATTATCACTGGCAAGTCAGCTTGGACCAGATCCTAAACTAGTCTCAACTGGCATAGTTCCAGTTAAGTCAGTGAAGCTGCCCTAATTTGCACCAGCTGGCCTCTAAGACTCACTCAGCATCCACATTTTCTCATGGCTGGAAGAATAAAAACAATACAAAATTAGACATATGATTTCAAAATGTATAGCCAATCTGTTCCTGCTCCCTTGGTGCTGCAAAGCAGTTGTAAACCCAATGGAAGCAGCTATTTATACTAGGTTTATGGCTGCTCTGCATAACCTGAGGCTGAAGTGAACTGGCAATCATGTCTCAAACCTCCCAATAATATTAAAGACTACACTGCTGTCTGACTCCTCAGTGAAATCAAGTTGAGAACCAGACATGCTTCATTGGTACCTTTTTTGAAAATGACTTGGGAGAAACTGAAGGAAATTTACAGAAGCACTGAAGTCATTAGTAGAGTGTGATTTTCCAAAGTACTCAGGATTATACTATTGACTCTGTTCCCACTGATCTCAATGGGCATTTTATTATGGCCTTGGTGAGAGGAGCATTAGGCCAAAGCGCAGCACTTCTGAAAATCCTGTCTGTATTTTCCACCAAGAATCTGAAACGTGCTGCAGCACACAGTGTGGAAAAAACAACTCTCACTGAATAAGAATGCTGATGTCAATAAAAAAGCATCTGAGAATCATACAATCGGTAGAGAAAAACTACTTTCCAAGCATGTGCCTCAAGGAACATCAACAGAAACATCAGAAAAGAGACACGAAAATGAAATCAGCCAGAAAAGATTCAAAGCAAGAAAGAAAGTAGCAGAAGCAAAGTATTTTAAAATGCCATAATGTACAAGTTAAAAGAAAGAGAAAGTCTACGGCAGCAAGAAGAGTTAGGCTGCATTTTAGAAGTTTTGAGGAAAAGCTGTGAAAGTGAGGCAGAAAACATCTGGTCTCTGATTTATTGATCATAGAACTCACTAAGTGAGAGGATAGCTAGTGCATTTCCTAATGTCACTCAAGAACTGTTTGAAGCAAAAAAGAAAAAATGATTTAAATATACCTAGAGAAGAGCATTTGTTAATTCCTGAAGAGTCAGAGATCAGATTTCTTTTGGGATGGGACCAAGTACTCATATCTGAAGCCTAGTGTATATTAGACCAGGAAGGTTGGCTTAAGGTTCACAACTCTAGATAAGCAAAATGCGTAGATGGAGTCACCTTACCTTAAACTGAGCCATGGTGACATCCACACAGTGGGAGACCAATTGGAGCAAACACTCCGGTCATCTTCCCTTACTTCCTGCAGAAGGAGAAGTACCAGATGCCAGCAGGGGCTACCCTCAGCATTCAATTTACAGGTCTATACTAGACCCACTAAATCGACCACTAGAAGATGTACCTCTGCAGCATCAATCTTTTGGAGAGTATAGATGTACTCTGGGAAACTGGCTAGTGCAATACCTAACGACCAACCTTTATGACCCAAGAGCCTAATTGTGTGAAGAAAAAAAGCTGGACCTGAGCACCACATCCGAGGGCACGTCTACACTAGGAAATAATTTTGAAATAACTCAATTTGAAATAATAACTCCTGAAATAACTATTTTGAAAAAACCTTATTCTCCAAGGAAAACAGGAGTACAGATTTCAAAATAACCAGCCCATTATTTTGAAATAACAGACTTACCAGTGTGGATGCTCAGCATATTATTTCAAAATAACAGGGGGTTATTTCAAAATAACTCCCTAGTGTAGACCAGGACTGAGAAAAAACTGAATTCAGAGGGAAGCCTAAGATGTTCTGTTGGATCCCTATCCATCTATCATTCACCAAGATCAACCATGAGCAAAAATGTCCAACGTTTACAATTACTTGTCCTATACAGTGAAGGCGATTAAAATGTTTCCTGGTTTAATTCCCATTAGATCTCTCTCAAATAAGAAATGATTCTATACCATTGGAAAGGACAATTTAAGTGCAACTGCTGTGTGCTAAGTAGATACATAGCATCCTTAAGTCATGCTGTTCCTAAATCACTGATGCACTTCTGAAAATCCTAATTCTAAATGTGACCTGACAATTTTATCTTTTGCCCAAGCTGAAGGGGGTGCAGTAAGACTACAATCTCGGATGAAGTTTAGTAAGACTGAGATACTGGTTTTCTGGTAGAAAGAGTGGTGGAAATTTTTCAGTTAAAACTCTGGGTGATTGTGTAGATCTATAATTAAATGTTCATCTGTATTGTATTTAGCTTCATGCTCACTTTTACAGTTACCTAGGAAATAACACTCTTGAATATAGCTGTTCATGGTGTAATTGTGTATGTCACCATCTGCCTGAGCATTCAACCAGTCTATAGTCAAGTTCAGATTTTTAATGAATTCTTATTATTTTAATATACCCATTTTCATTCACACAATTTACATTTATCTGGATCTGATTTTTGAGGGGATCCTAATAACTGGTGCAGGTGGACAGCATTATGGCAGAGGGGCAATTTGGCTCTGCAAGGCATCTTCACGCATTACTGGTCTATGTTCACAGGAATTTCCATCCAATCTAGCATGCAGGGAAGCTCTGTAGCTTGGGTGGTGACTGCAGAGGTCAGTGGGAAACAGATAACAATAGTCATGAATCCACAGTCAAAATCCTATATAGGAGGTCACAGCAGCTGCATAGGTTACTGAAGCCTTTACATTTCTTCCCCTCAGCTTTCAGCCTATGTGGAAGATTTCATCCCTTTTGCACAACCTGAGTAGGGGGGTATCTACACAGCAAAGTTATTTCGGAATAACGCCCGTTATTCCAAAATAACTGTGCGAGCATCTACACAGCCATTCCATTATTTCAAAATAATTTTGAAATAATGGATGGCTTAGTCCAACTTCTGTAAACCTCATTCTAAGAAGAATAATGAATATTCCAAAATAGCTATATTGAAATAAGGCATGTGTAGCCGCTCCACTTCTGCTATTTTGAAATAGCCCCTCACCAAGGCCACTCTAAGTTATTTCACCCGGGGCTCTAAATCGAGATAGCATGTCTACATTAGAGAAACTTTCTTTGGATTAATTTTGAGGCTTCCCTGCAGCGTAGACATGCTATTTCAAAATAAGCTACAGTAAACGTCCGATAATCCGGCACCTTTAGGACCCAGGGGGTGCCGGATTATCAGATATGCCGGACTATCAGAAGGGGGGGCTATGAGGGGTCTGGAGTGGGGTGGGAGCGGATGCCACCCCAGACCCCTCATAGCCCCCCCTTACGATAGTCCTTGAGGCTTCCCTGCAGCGTAGACATGCTATTTCAAAATAAGCTACAGTAAACGTCCGATAATCCGGCACCTTTAGGACCCAGGGGGTGCCGGATTATCAGATATGCCGGACTATCAGAAGGGGGGGCTATGAGGGGTCTGGAGTGGGGTGGGAGCGGATGCCACCCCAGACCCCTCATAGCCCCCCCTTACGATAGTCCAGCTCTGCCCCAGGCGTCCCTGATTCAGCCGCTGCTGGTCAGTTTCAGCAGCAGCTGAATCGGGGATG